GACATAACAAAATAAAGCCATATATTAATCAACACTAATGTCAACAAATCATTGCATTTATAGCTTAACAGCAATTAAATGATAATAAAAAGTCTAAGTCTAAGGTATTTATGGCTCAAAAATAGTGTCAATCAATTGAATGGAGGATTAAATTGAGTCAACAGTTAGTTAACAAACCTATCATTTGGTGTGATTTGCGGCCAAAACACAGTCTTTGGGCCACAGATTGTGTTCATGTGATGACAATTGGTCTCAATTTGAACACAAATATGGCTTATATTGCGAGACAAACGATGCGATCGTTAATTGAATTGTTGTTTGCATTCAATTGTAATTAAAAACACATTAAAAAAGACCGGAAAATATGAGCACTCATTGAGTCGAGTGTTGAATACAGTTATGATTGAAAGGCAAACAAGTGTTGACTCAAAAACATATGAATTTTGTTGATGTGTTTCCCAAATAAAAACTCATCAAAAAAATCTTAACCACAAAAATGGGATTAAATAGTGGTTTAAATAGTAATGCAATCAGAGATTGGATTTAATAACGAAATAAATAAATAAATGTTTTATTTTCCCAATCGTTTCGATTGTGTACTGAATGTCACGAAAACATATGAAATACGCGTCGAATTCCTATTGGAGTTCACTATTCGTGACGACATTTGTGTCCATAAGAAACACATCATTCAAGCGATGCATTCGGTCGACGAGTCTATGCTTTCCTGACATACGGTTTGCAATAAGTTGTGATGCAATCGTAGACTACATTACTGTTCAATACTATTCATCATTATTTCATTACATAATACTCTATAACGATATGTTATATTTATTCATTCAATCAATACTTCAATACTGAACTCATTATTGTCTTTCGTCTATCACTTTATCATTGATTTGTTGTCTCAATCTCTATAACACAATATACATGTATGTTATCTAACACTGTATTTCACTGTACCAATATCTAGGGCTAAATTTAGTAAAATTGGAGTTCTGGAAGTTCTAAAGCAAATAATTATTTGCTTGGCTTAATATTTACAAAGCAGATTGGATGTATTGGGTTTTCTTTAGGTAAAACAAAAACTAGACTTATAGGACACGTTGTATGTGAATAGGAACTGCAATATCTCGTGTTTCAGAGCCATCTAGTGCGAGTTGTCATATTTTTGGCGTATCTAAACCAAGGGAAATAGCTTTTCTTAAAATAACACATGTTGTCTATATATAGTCTATGTTTGGTGTCATATGTAAGACATTCAGTAATTTGAATAGATTTTATGTAAATCGGGATCGGAATTAAAGCGCTTTAACTCCGATCCCGATATTAACCAACTATTAATACATTCAAAACATGTTATGTTAAACTGATATGCATTTAGTAATACTCATTACTATTGGTTGAATGAGTTGACAATTAAGTTAATTGTATTTAGTGTTTGTTATGGACTCTAACGAGTAAAGTGCTTTACTCGGTAAAGTCAGGCATACAAATGAAAAAAA